GCTTAAGAATTTCACGTATTTCCTGCATGTTTGTTATAGTTTAGTAAAAATATTCAGTAAGGAAAAGGAGCAATGCTGTCCTCCATTGTAAAATGAATGACACTGGATGGAATCAAAAGGGACTGAGGGACCTTCTTTCCCAGCGTGTGGTAGAGGCTTCAGTTAGTGTGAGTGTGTTGTCACCGTTCTGAGACTGAACAGCAACTGCAGAGACAAGAATAGCTGGTGGCTGACAGTGCATTTGCTCCTCTTGTCCTGATCAAGGTTTTCTAATTCTGGCCCAGGAGAGTATCCATGTCTCCAGTAGGCCATGCAATGGCACGTTAGACATGCTTTAGGGTCCAGCAGCCTCAGCCCTGTGTTTGAGGAGGAACAGCACAAAGGGCACACCTGTCCTGTTGTAAACCTGGCACTAGGATTTAAAATACATGAAACACCTGTTCCCCTGAATTATAAATTTCAACTTGAGGTCTCTAGCACTTGAATTTACCAGGTACATTTTTTTTAAAAAACATCAAATAATCTTGGGTTTTTCTGATGGAGGAAGTTGGGACCATGAAAGCCAGAAGAAGGCAAAATAGAGTGGCAAAGACTCTTTACTCAGTTTCTAATGAGCATTTGTAGTCAAGACCAAGCACACATATTGATTTTCATCAAGTGGGATTCTTTACAGAGTGAAAATGCTGGCTGCCCTAGAGGTGAGCCCCATGGGACTGTTCATGTGGCAGGCTTTTAAATGAACAGATTAAACTAGTCATGAGTTGCATCTTCTGATGTGTCTGTGCTGTATATATTAAGATCCACCCTGGTGCCCTTTTGGCAGTTAGCATTCTTGTAGCTTCAGTGTACCTCAGCCCACACATCAGCTTGCAAGGTGCATTTTTTTTCCCTTTCCTTGGAATGTGTAAAGGAAGAATTAGATTGCTGTTTGTTGAAATGGACTGCACATCTCACAAGTCCCATTTCAATAATCTTCCAGAAGCAAGAATGTATTTGGGACTGGAAAGGGCAATACAACATAGCTAAATAAATAGCAAGAGGTCCCACTGTGGCCAGCCTGCAGTGCTACAATGTGACTTCTAGGCCTTACATTTCATACTTTTTTCTTTGGCAAACAGAGTCTGAAAGGTCTTACATAGACACAGAATTTTAAGTCTGAATACTCAAGAAACGGGGGCTTCAAATTCTAAAGCTGTCACATAACCCCCCTGAGAATTGCCTGAAAGTTTCCTATTAACCCTTTTAATGAATCCAAAGGTTGGAAAACTTAGTGTGCCTTTGGTTTCCCTTCAAATTTAACCTTTTGAGATATATGCATATTCCTGTCAATTTCTCTAGCTTCAAGGTTGTACTCTGCCATCCTAAATATGTAGAGACCATTTCCAGGGCTGTTCTCTGATCTTGTGAGTCTGGAAACCAAAGAGACACTGGCAAAGGGAGAAAGACCTGACTGGGGCAGGAAGGATGAAGGGCCAACAGGTCAGAGGGCTCAGCAGGATCAGAAGAAACCCTATTTCTTCCCTAAAATTGTAAATATTTCTTTAGGTGTAAAGGAAAAGAGGATGTTTAAAGTAGGTCTTGTGTGTGAATGGAACTATTTTTATAGTGCATCTTTTCACTAATGTTTCTCAATAGATATAATTTTTTTCCATGAAAGAATGGAATAAAAAAATGGTTTGGTCTTTTCCCTCATAAAACAGGGCTGGCTTTGTGCTGTGACTTACATAAACAATTGTCAGCCTTCAGATATACACATTAATTTTAATAGAACAGAATTAAACAAGCTATTAACTTTTACTTTACATAGTCTGGTAGATGCCTACCAGCCTTGAAGCCCACTCAACACAAATCAGACAATTCTTTTACTTTCACTCATGGATGGTTTTATCCCTCTCTCCTCTGGTTTTTAAACTAACTCATTGAGTGGGATTTATCCCAACCATTAACTTAAATGCCTGATACACAGAATTGTTATTTTTAATCCCATAGCTACTTTCTTTACTCATAATCCATTACTAAAATGATTCTGTAAAGGGTTTCCCTATGAACACAATTATTATCATTAAATTCACATTTTATGGATTTATAAAAATGATTTTGAATTTTAAAAATATCCATAACTAAACAATACCCACCCGAGTTATCTTTCCTTAAAGGGCTCAGAGATTTTAAGAGTCTTCTTAAGCAATGAAGTAGAAAGTGACAATTTATATCACAAGAATCTTATTCATTATGATTCTCATTTAAGTGATTTGGTGGCTAGGTTTTGCTAAAAAGAATTTCTAGAACACTGCCAGACAATTAAAATTAAGAACTTTCATCTTGTGCTAGTGGCAAGTTAGATTTATGGAATAACCACTTTGTAGACCAATTTGACAATATTTAGCAGAGGTGAAATTGTACATAGTCCATGGTTTATTTATTCCAGTCCTTAGCATGTATATATTGGAGATGTTCAGCCACATGAGAATACATGTATGCATTGCAGCACTGCTGTAAGTGAAAAATTTGAAAATTTTGAAATTTTTCCATGGTAAAATCAGAAATGGATAACAACACAAACCATCAATAACATGAACTATTAACACAATTCATTTAATGGAATAGTCTACAGAAGCAAAAATGAACAAAACAATATAGATGAGTCATACATATTTCACTGAAAGATTAAAGATCAAATAGCAGAAGGGTACATAGTGTATAACTCCGTTGTATAGATTTGAACATTTGCAATATTTTATTTCTTGCACTAGACAATGTATACATTTATATTTGTAGAATATTTCATATTTTAGAAATATCAATGAAGTGCTGAAATCTGAGATTATAAGAATTAGGATAGGGTTGTAAGAATACCAAATGTGTGCACACAATTTTTAAAATGCAATTTTTTTTACTGGAGTTTGCATATTTTTATATGGTCTTTCACTCATTCCAATAATGATTTCAGCCTTTATTGGTATAATTATTTTGTGAGGTCAGATGTAGCCCTTTCTGCTTGCATTAATCAAAAGCTGTTTGCAAGCTGGATGTTGTGGTGTACATCTGTAATCCCAGATGAGTCTGTGGAGGAGGATCATCAGTTTGAAGCCAGTGTGGGCTACATAAAGAGTTTCAAGCCAGTCTGGGTTATGCAGTGAGACCCTGTCTAAAAAAAATGGGTTACATTAGGCAATTTTGAACCTACAGTATTGTTGGGCTATAATATTTGACTTAGGTATAAAAATTTGGGTATAAAAATGAAAGCCCACCCCTATGAAATAAATCTAGGCCACAAAAAGGAAATTTAATCTCATAAGAATTTCTAAATGGTTTTCCCCACATGTTCTAAGTAATCTTTAAAATATAAACATTCAGTGGATATTTGAAACTCTTGCTTTTTCTGTTTTTCTTTTGGTGTTGTAAAAAAAAGAAGGTGAAGCTGAAGGAGGGACACCCTGAGGGAGGCTGGCATTTCTTTTCTTCTGTAGGTGATATAGTTCCTATAAACCCTGAGGCGTTGTTTTGAGGGACAGAGGATGTTACTGGGGTTTGAACTCAGAGACTTGCACTTGCTAGGCAGGCACTCTACTAACTTGAGCCATTCCCCAGCCCTAGTTGCTGCATTCTTGCCACTAGGCAAGTACTTAGTGATTTGTAGATTAAATTTCTGTAAATGCTTTGGAATTTCCCTCATGTAGCCCTGGGGCATGTGTTCTCCTGGGATGCTTACAGTCAGCTAAGTTCTAATAATTAGTTATGATCTTTAGGGAACAACATGCAGTGATGATCACAGAGTGAAATTTCCAGCATCTGGTGGTTAGAAATATAACAAAACAAAACAAACAACCCTAGATGATAGGAAAACCCATTTTCCAGTGTAGGAACCTAGTTGTTTCAAAGTTTATTACAGCTGGTTCTCAACTTTGACCACTCATTGGGATCATTTCTGTAAAAATATACTGATGCCTGGTCTTATTCCTGGAGATTTATTCATGTGAATGTAGCTTGCGCACTGGGATTTGAAAAAAACAAAAACAAAAACCTTCCAGGTGTTTCTAATATACAGTAAAGTTTATGAATCACTGTATAAAACTTAAAAAATTCTCTATGAGAGAGTCTGTGTGATTCTAAACTACTGACTTATAACTTACATGTGGCCCTAACCACTGTCCATGCAGATTCAAGGGAAGTAATTAAAGGTCAGTGCTATCCAGTGGCAAGCTCAGTGCAGCAGGGGTGAGAACTGGCCCCCAGAATACAAGTCTTTCCTCCTGTGTGAATAGAAGCAGAAACCTATTAACAATGTTCCCAGCTGTTAAGCATCTGTGAAACTGTCATGACAAGTGCTTAGCAATGCTTTGGACAAACTGAATGCTTAATATGCATTCACCAAATAAACAAACAGATGAGCCAATGACAAGAAAGAAATACTGAAAAAAAGAATCTCCATGAAGGAATTGTTAGGGTACCTTTGAGGCTTGCAGCCCACTCAGCCTGAAATGGGCCATGGTTAACATGACCCAAGCCGCTACTTATTGGAACAAAGGGAGGTGGGATGGTTTCTGGGAACAGGGACTGTTTCTGGTTAATCTTGCTAAACGGTATGTGAGTCAATGAGTTAAGACACCTGGT